TGTCAATGAAATTTTTTAAAATGTTAAAAATTGAAACTATTGTTCTAATTAACTTTGTGGATGTATAAAAAGTATAGAGTCTAATAATTTTATTCCCAGTTTTTAAAAAAAAATGTTCCACCTCTTTACAAGACTTAGAAATGTCTATGACTGAAATGTAAATTGAAAGTGAATTTAATATGTCGTCACTTTTGAAATGCCTCGCAATAAAATGTAAAGGCACAATCGATAAAAGATGCATATACATTCACATATTATTTATTATTTAAAATAGTTACAAATGCTATTTTTCATTGTTCAAACTGTTTAAATTAATCATAATTTCTTGCAATGATTAGCAATGTTAAACAAAGAAAAATCCCCGTTATACTTTTATTTAAAGTTGGATGAAACATTTGATAAATTGTAGGTTTGTAGTTCAATTTCGCTTATAGGTGATGAAAGCGCATTAACAGTCACCACTTTTACGGCCTACCACCTGAATGGGCTACCATCTTTATGGTCTACCACCTGGATGGGCTACCATCTTTATGGTCTACCACCTGCATGAGCTACTACTTGGATGGACTACCACCAAAATGGTCTACCACCTGGATGGGCTACCATCTTTATGGTCTACCACCTGCATGAGCTACTACTTGGATGGACTACCACCAAAATGGTCTACCACCTGGATGGGCTACCATCTTTATGGTCTACCACCTGCATGAGCTACTACTTGGATGGACTACCACCAAAATGGTCTACCACCTGGATCGGCTACCATCTTTATGGTCTACCACCTGCATGAGCTACTACTTGGATGGACTACCACCAAAATGGTCTACCACCTGGATGGGCTACCATCTTTATGGTCTACCACCTGCATGAGCTACTACTTGGATGGACTACCACCAAAATGGTCTACCACCTGGATGGGCTACCATCTTTATGGTCTACCACCTGCATGAGCTACTACTTGGATGGACTACCACCAAAATGGTCTACCACCTGGATGGGCTACAATCTTTATGGTCTACCACCTGCATGAGCTACTACTTGGATGGACTACCACCAAAATGGTCTACCACCTGGATGGGCTACCATCTTTATGGTCTACCACCTGCATGAGCTACTACTTGGATGGACTACCACCAAAATGGTCTACCACCTGGATGGGCCACCACCTTTATGGTCTACCACCTGTATGGGCTACCACTTCGATGGGCTACCACCTGTATAAGCTACCACATGGATGGGCTACCACCAAAAATGTTCTACCACCTGGATGAGCTACCACCTGGATGGGCTAACTCCTGGATGGGCTAACACCTGTATGGGCTACTGTCATTATTATTGCTATAGCTAAGATGATTAGCTGCAATACATCTTATCTTATTACTTGTGTCACAGACATAGACGCAGGTTAAAGGTGTCAACATTTACAAAAATGTATAACGTTTTGATATTATTCAAACAAAAATGTGATGTTAAAAATAAGTATAAAAAAATGGATGCAAACGAACATCGAATTTCATTCAGTGTTTATGTTATTAAATAAAAAGACAACGTATGCAGTTTTAAAAACTAAACGTTTCATTAAGGGGGAGGGGGGGCGGGGGTGAGTGTCTCGAATAACAGATACTTTAATGCAAGTGTATTACACTGCATTTCTTACAAATGTGCATGAGATAAATGAGAGTCTAACGTTTTCTGCCGTGTTCCTTTATAATTAAAAGGAAATTAAAGATTATTGAACTGATTGTTTGTCACAGGCGTACTCGTTACTTGTACATGAACGAACAAAAAATAATAATTTCTGACCAATACTTGAAAAGAAACGTTATTATTTTTGTACAAACATGTGTGGTTTTTTTTTTTACACTCAATTTTTAACTTGAATTAAAAAGAAAAATAATTAAAAACATATAAAAATTAAAAAAAAAATAATTTATTTGCTTGTGTGTTATTTTTAAAGCTCACTCACAATGAAATTGTTGTGGCGAGCCGAGAGATCGAATAGAACACTAACGAATTGAAGCCCAACGAAAAGAGCCGTTGAATTGAGAGTCCAGTGCCTTAATTCTGTCCAGCCCGATCTTTGTGAAGGGAAGGTGTCGAGAGATGTAATCTTGATCAAGTTGGATAGCTTGTAACAGATAATCGGTCCCTCTTTTTGTTTTTAAATATCCGATGCTAAAACAAAAAAAAAAAAACCAAAAAAACCAAAAAAAAACCAATCAAACTTGCAATAATATTAAAAAACCACCTAGCACCCTACTTACACGTGTTCTGGTATATGCTCAAAGGTTCTCTAAATCAGGTTAGTACCTCCCAAAATTAAGTGCAATTATTAAACACAATATTTTTTACCTACTTAAAAAATGAGAATGATAAACAGTTTTATATAATCGGTCAATTCTCCCCATATGTTAGGGGAAAGTAAAAATGTAAGATTTTTTTTTTCTAAAAAAAAAAATCTGCAAAGCATCAATGCAAATTGTTCTCTGTAT